TTTTTTTTTTTTTTTGAAAACTAAAAATTTTTAATTTTGAATTGTTAAGAATTAGATAAGATGACAGAACAAAAAATTGATATCTTACAATTTTTGAAAGTCTAATTTAATTAGTTTTTAATATTAGAGCCAAATTTAATTTAGATAATCAAGTGTTTACTAAAATACCAAATTATTAATGCAGTTATCAAAATACTAGTTAAGTTATTATTAAAATTAATCTAAGTGAAAATCACTACTGTCCAAATTTGAGTGATAACTGGGAATTCACTTGTCAACTTTATTATATTTGCATTACTAAAACTAAAAATTATCTACGAATTTAAATTGAAAAAAGAATGAAAATTAGATAAAACTTAGTTTGAAAGTCTGAATGTGAGTACGAATTAATAATTACTTTCACTGTTCCCTCGTATTTTTAGTTTTAATTAGTTTAGACCGAAAATTCTTTCAAATTAAATTAGCCTCAAAGTCTGACTTTAGGCATGAATTAGCAATTATTTATAATAATTCTTGAACTCTTTAAAGTCTTGTCAAATTGTAACAAACTTCATGATGATTTAAATTTAGTCTGAGTAAAAAAACCCAAGTAACTTAAATCTAAGTATAACTTAGAGTTAAATTAGAGGGTCAGAGGGTATTGTATAGATAAAAAAGGAATGATACTTTGGACTACTAAATAATTTATTCTCTTTTTCTGTACTAAATAATTGAATGACAGATGAATAGAAGACATGAAATAGCAACATAGCTATTTGGTATATTTGGGATATCTTGTGGTAATTACCAGTATAGTATTAACTGTAAAATATGCCATTGCTCATAATCTCCAACTGGATAAAACTCTGAAAGGTCGTTTTCCTCATTTATCTATTCGTAGTCAAATGAATGATAATAGAATTTCAATTATTTTTAGCACAACTATTCCGGTACATACCAGATAAATGATTTGGGGTTTTAGCATGACTATTATCGGAGATTAAATATTCACAAATATTTGCATAAGAAAATGAAATTATTTATTCATAACTAAACTATTTGCAAAAATAAAATAATAAACAAATTATGCAAAAAAATTATGTGTAAATTTATTTACGCTAAAATTGTACAAAAGCATTCAATTACAATATTTTTAACACAAATATATCTCAAAAGTTTGTTTAACAATTAGCATGAATTTCCGCGATGAGCAGGAATAATTATCGCGGTAAAGAGTAAACCTGTTTGAGATGAGATGAATACTTTATTTGGGTCACAATTAGTGGTAATTTTGGCTGAAAGTTGTTCTATCTCATAGATTTTTATTTGTTTTTAAATTTATTACTTTGTAACACTTTCAATTTTATGATTATCTTTCTGATTTAATTCATAAAATATCCTTAAAATATGTTTATAGAATATTAATATAGTTTATAAAATTTTTTGGCAAACAATAAACATTTATAATTATAAAATTCTTTTATTTGAAATATAAAAAATTAATTTTACGTTCTAATTTATTACAGTTTCAAATTTTTACTCTACAATTTCATTATATAATCCATATAAATTAAATTTAAGCAAACTGATCTACGAAATTATAAGTTAGCAGAAAATTAAAATGCGCTGAATTAATTAATTAATTAAGCTTATTTAATAATATTTATAACGAGCTTTTAATGCTTAGCAGAAATAACTTTGTTAAATTTCAGCAAAACTATAAAAATTTTTTAAAAAAATGTCGTAAAATGCGTATTTATTTTATCAAAATTTTTAAATTTTCAGATTTTTTTTTTGAGTTAAAAAAAAAACTAAATCTAAAATAAATCTTTTTTATTTTTCATTAAAGACCACTTTGATATTTTTGCGCTTCGGGTCATAAGTAAAATTATTATCGGTTTATTATTATTATGTAAAATTATCAATTTATTATGCATCTATTCATAAAACGAGCTATAAACTTAAATTTTTATTCATATTTTATGTTTGTTAAATTTGTGACTTTTAATTTAATTTTAGATAATTCATTATTGTTTTTTTTGTTACTTTTAAAGTATTTATTGCTGTTTAGCAATCTATTCAAATTTTTAGTTACGTAAGCAAAAAAATTCTTTCAAATTTTTGAGTAATACAAACGAACGTAATTTCTTGTGTTAAAATTAATGAAAGAAAAGTTTGAATTTTGAAAGATTAGTTTGTTCCTTTTCATTTTTCAATTTGTTATTTTACAATTTATCATTTAAAGAATAAATTTGACATTTGTTGATATTAAAATTGTCCAAATCATTTAACTTTTAGCTAAAAATGAGTTATATATGATAATTTGCTTATAATTTTATTGCATTATTTAAGTAACCATTCTTGCTCTGCTAAATTTTCATTTTGTAAATTCAAATTTGTGGTAATTTTTAGTATTTTTAAAGCTTTTTCAAAAGTTGGAGGTTTTTATCATTTTGTATTTTATAATTCTAATTAATTCAAATTTTTGAAATTAATTTTTGTTCAATTCTTTAGCATATTTTAAAGCTTTAAAATATTGTACACTAAATTTTTTTAATTTTTAGAAATTAACTTTAAAAGTTTTATGACTAAGTTTTTAATTGCTTCGACCTTCTATACTGCGTAATAATTTTGGGTAATTTATTATTAAGTGAATATTTGTCTATATTTTTTAATAATTTTCTTAGCAGGTGATTTTTTGTTCCATCAACAATTTCAATCATGGAAAATCTAAACAAACGCTTACAATCAACAACTGAAAAGTGCGATACTGTTAATAATTCTTCTCTTACTGTGCAATCTTCTGGTGCTACTGTAAACAGTACGCATGAAAGCAGTACAAGTACAAGTGCTAACAGTAGTATTTCTTTCGATCATTCTGTAGGCTTAACTCGAACTGAATTGTCTACTGCTCTCGAAATTCAAATTCCATTGGTACTAAATGCGCATGGTATTAAGTGTACAAGTAAAGCACATCGCAATAAGCCTTGCAATTGCACATTAGTACAAAATGAAATGTTATTATTTAAAGAATACAATGGTACTAAGGTCTGATATTTAAATAATTTTTGTAATATAAAATAATTATTTAGTTTTGTAAATTTATACTCTCTAAAAGTTGTCTTCTTTTAACAAATCAGCAAAACAAAACCATTTAAAAAAATATGTAAATCTTTGGTAATTATTTTTGAAGAGTTTGACATAATAAAGTATATTAATTTTTTATGCATAAAATTTTTGCAAAATATGATTTTTCCGCAGTTTAATTCTATTTGCCTAATTTATTCACTTACTAATTCACAAATCCAGACTACACTAGTTCAAAATAGAACTAAGATTCTAAGAATGCACGAATAAGAGCATTCTAGCAAACAAACAAAACAGATTTGAATATAGAATTTTTTAATGAAAACAAAAACTTCATGAATACATAAACAATAACATGTTATTATCTGATTTGCACCAAATAATTTTCATATTCTTCAATTTTTAAGTGAACTCTAAACGTGTTTGCGTAACCCTTTTTTTAAATCCATGTTAATTTATAGAACACTTCATATTTTTTACGTATGTGAGATTTGACACAAACACGTCTTATAGTATTTCACTTATGTTTCTAAAAAGAGTATAAAATTTTTAAACACATGTAATGAATAGTGATGACCTTTCTTTTTTGTGGTGTATCAATGACGACTGATTGCATCTCTGATTGAACTCATAAAAAATTCAAATCTGATCAAAATTTGAATAAATTGTCAACTGTAACCTCAAAACAGGATTGTAAGGACAGGAAAAAGTGCATTATTTTTGAAGGACAATTTTTGAATAGCAAAAAAAAAGCGGAAATTGTGCATTTTTTATTTTATTGTTTGGCAATTTTCACAAATATACTGCTTTTGATTTTTATTCATATTTTTATAGGTTGTAAATTTAGTATCTTACCATATTAAATATTAAAAATTCTTTTTTACTTAATTTCATGCACTAATTATTAAATTGCATTGATCAAAGTTATTTTTAGTGCATTGATCATTTACAAATTTTTGTTTTTTAAACTAATTTTTTGGATTAATTACTTTTAGATCAAATTATATCCGTACTGATTTGTATTGATTAGTAGTTTTTATGATTAAATTTGCATATTTGTTTACTCATCCATCACTCTATTCTTGACAAATTTTGATAAAGTGTTTAAAGTCAAACTGGAAAACCTGTCTTATATGAACAGATATTAATTTTACTAATTAATCTGTGCGAAATTTTTGCATATCTTGCAAATTATCTCATATTCCAGTGCATAATTGTATTATCATAATTTCTGGCTGATATATTCATAACTTCCATACAATTTCTAAAATTATTGGAAAATAATTCAATTTTCATCAGTAAAATATCCAGTTTTGAAGTCTGCTTACTTTAATAAAATACCAATAAGTGAATTTTACGTAAAAAAAATAGCTGAAAAAAAAACTGCAAAGTAAAAGTAGCACTAGAATTTTTAATTTTAAAGTTTAGCTTTTGTAATTACTGTTTGCCCTTTGCATTTAGGTGATATTTTAATTAAATATTTTCTTAGCTTAAAAGATACGTGTTAAGCTCTTAAATAAGTTCCAATTTTAGTTTTCCATTCAATGCTTTTCAACAAATTCCATTACTTCATTTCCATTCCACCGCCTCAATTCAAAAAATCTATTATTTTATTTCCATTTCTAGTTCACTGATTTTGCATTACGCTTGGAAAGAATTAAATTAAGGTCTTGCGTGAGGAATCAAATTAAGTCTTTTCTACAATTTCTTTAAACATTTTTGTATTAAGCTTTGACTCAAAAATCGACGTAAATAAATGAAAAATATCACCAATAAATAAAATTGCCTGAGACTTTTATCTTAGAATTATTTTGAGTCTTAAGACTGAATAAAGCTAGCCTATTGGTTGACTTCCGTGTTTTACAGCTTTAATTTATTTTCTTTCTTTTTAGGGTACAAATTTTTTATTTTTTAACAAGCACAAATTTTATATAAATTTCTGTCGCATATACTTAAAATTTTTGCAAAAGATTTTCTAACAATTTTACGCTTCAATTTTACTTAAACTTTGTACTGACAAGTCAAAAAATTCAATCTTTTAGTATGAATTTAACGATGCTTGTTGTGAATGTAATAAATTTAAGCGTATCTTACTTGCAGTGCATCAAATCACGTGTGATTCAATTACGTGTTCGAAGAAAGCAAGAAACTGGAAATGACGGTAAGTTAAAGGCAAATCTTAACGTTACTTAATCCATTTTAAATATGATAAATTATAATCATTTAATCAAAAATATTAAATAATGAAACGTTGCGTTTATATTGGCATTAAAAAAATCACTAAAAATGATAATACTAAGCAGATCAAATTAATTTTCAAGTGTTATAATAAAAATTTTATTGTGATTATTTGAAATATCACTAATTTATTTTTTACACCTTTTTTATGTTGCAGTATTTTGCTTAATCCGAATGAATTATTATTATTATTATTATTATTATTATTACCGAAATGTGAATTATTAAAAATTTTAGGTGTATTTATAAGAATGTATATTTCTTAATAATTTCTAGCATAATAAAAAATTCTTTTAAGTATTTTTAGAAATATTTGACGAAAATATGAGCTAATATGACCAAAACACATTTATTCATTTATGTGACCATCAAACTGGTATTTTTCTCAATAAATCTCGTTTTTCATCAATTATTCCCCTCGAAGTAAGTATAAAAACTTCTATCTACTGCCTCTTCACGTTCTCTTATCACGATCACGTGATAGCCGTTTAATCATAATATATAAACGAAAATACAAAAAAAAAAAGGCATATTCATTCATAATTTACAAGATATTACTCATTTTATTCAAAAGTTTGACTGATTAAAAAAGCAAAAAATAAATAAAAATAAAAAGTTTTAATGAAATCAAAAAAAAATTGACTCAGATGTAATTTGTTTGTGCAAAATATAAGCAAAAAAAAACTTAATAAATAATAATACAAAAGAAGAATTGAGATTGTTCAGTTATAGTTACAAAGCAAAGGAAAAAACAAAAAGCAGAAAAATAATATTGGTAATCAAATTGGAAGCTAATTTAATAAAGTATAAAGTAAAATTTAAGTAAATCATAAATAATTCATCAAAATGGCGCCAATAATTATACAGTATTTGATTAAATTAAAAGTAATTTTGTTGAATTTGTATTACCACAAAAGTAAAAATAAATAAGTGAAAAATAAATAAATAATAAATAAATGAATGAATATAGAACTAGTAAATTGGAATTACAGTTACAGATAAGCTTTAGTGCGGTAACTAGAGAGTTTACCGAGAACCGGTTTTCATACTTGGTACCTTCTCGAGGTACTTTCCATCCATCTATCCGTACTAGTTAACTGATCATCCTCATATATTTCTCTCATTTATTTACCATTTCAATAACCCATCAGAATATTATGAATGACCCCTTTTTGATGGATTTTTTCGATTCTTTTAGTATTTAGCGAAAATTGTTGTCTTTCTTATATGTGTAAACAAGTATACTTTTGCTACAATTATTAAATTTCTTATTCATTTGTTTATTTAAAAGCAAAATTAGCTATCTATTACAATACACCGTAAATGCAGATTATTTTGCTACTTTATTTCTCAAATACAAAATATATTTATCGTATTCCTGTTTGAATATTGTTTGCTTACAGGCATAATTATATGATATAAACCTTAGCATATAATTTGTTCTAACTAGATTATTACTTAAGTATTAGTCTTGTTTACGTCATCAGTGTGATGACACCTTTATCACTATTATATAGATTTGGTTTTTTTTTTTGTAAATTATATAAACTGTAGACTTCTGAAGGCTTCTGAAGGCTGCAAATTCTGACTGGTTCACTCTTACTTTACTTTACTTTAATTATAAACCTGTTTGATTTTCCACAACAACACAATATTTTTAGTATACTGTTTTACATGCATATATTATGTAAACAAATTGTATTTCTAATGTTTTTAATTCATTCTATTTACAATACTCAGTCATCAACATTGTTAGTGCAAACAAATTGCTTATTCTGTGCTAATTTTTTGAAATGCGACGTAAATTTCAGAAAATTCGTTAATCAGTCCTGAAATCGCAATTTCTGATGCTTTTCTTGTATCAACTAATCGAGATCAAGCACTTGAAGTGACTAATACTCTCAAAAGGTTTAATTATTATCCATTTTTATTACTGTATTTTTTAACCAATTTTTTTTTCACAAAAATTATTTTTTGATTTTTTTGTTTTTTTTTAATATTAAAAAAAAA